CCGGAGGCCTCTTGGTGCGTGGGACATTGCTCAGCCACACAGCTGGAGCAAAGTGCGTTTGTTTTTATGAGTTAAAATGAAATGAGCCCGGCCGGTGTGGCTCAGCGGGTGAGCATCGACCTAGGATCCAGGAGATCAGGGTTCGATTCCCAGTCAGGGCACAGGCCCGGGTTGCGGGCTCGATCCCCAGCAGGGGGCGCGCAGGAGGCAGCCGATCAATGACTCTCTCATCGATGTTTCTATCTCTCTCTCCGTTCCTCTCTCTGAAATCAATAAAGATATATTTTAAAAATTAATTAATTAAAAAAATAATAATAAAATAAAATGAATTGAGCCCTAGAATCCCCTCAAGAATTGCAGGCTGTACCCTCTGGTTTTTTATTTGGAAATCTCACAGTTAACTTGAGCCTTTTCGACCTCAGCAGAGTTTGTTTTGTCTTTTTCTGTCATCACTTTGGCTGGAGCTATGGCTTCTCACCCTGTCCCCACATCAGCCCCTTGCGGCCCCCGTTAGCTTTCCATTCTTCTTGCATCTCTGCTTCCTGTAATTCAATGATTCACTCCATATCCATTTACCAATTTTCGGTAGGCTGTTGAGCAGACCACTGCACTTGTTAGAATCCTTTTTAAAACGAGAAGAGCCTAGGGTTCTATGAGAAAAAATACACAAACATTAGCTGTGTAGAGACTTTTGGGCTTCTTTTCATTTTTATTGTTTAAAAACGTGTTCTAGGTAAGTGGGTTAGAGAATTGAGTTGTTAAAAAATAAAGTTAGTTAATTTACTCAGACCAGAATCCTAGTTCATTTGCCCAGTGACTCCTGACATTTTAATTGATAAAGCACACACCTTTCACTCAAAAATTTTTTTTTTTTAATTTTACAGTTATGAACTATGACCACACCCTGTGGTGAAAAGCTACATTCTAGCCACAGTTGTAGTGCAGCTCTTCAACCATTCAGGAGCAGGTGCATAAAGCAGCCAGACGAGTTTCCTGAGGTTCCTCTGGGGAGTAAGAAACACTGACTCTTACTCAGTCTCTCTCTAGTCACCAAATAACATTTCCTCTTTGGTTGTCAAAGTGAAATTAGATAGTGAAGGTTATTTCTTTATCAAAGGTAACCCCAGTTAGTGGATGTGATTGTTAATTTTATGTGTCAACTTGACTGGGCCAAGAGGTGCCCAGATATTTTTGGTCCATCATTATTCTGGATGTTCTTGTGAGTGTTTCTGGATGAGATGAGCATTTGAATTGGTAGATTGAATAAAGTAGATTGTCCTCCCTAGTCTGGGTGGGCCTCATCCAATCAGTTGAAGATCTGCATAGAACAAAAAGACTAACCCTCCCCCCAGTGAGGGAGAATCCTTAAATCTTGAGCTTGCAGGCCTTCAGGCTAGAGCTACAACATCATCTCTCCTGGATCTTCAGCTTGCCAACTCACCCTGCACATCTTGGGACTTGTCAGACTCCATAATTGTGGGAGGAGTCAATTCCTTACAATAAATCTCTCTCCATATAATATAATAAATATAAGTACAATAAATATAAAAAGTATAATAAATATAAATATAATAAATTACAATGTATAATAAATATGATGATATGATATGATATAATAATATAATAAATATAATATAATATAATATAATAATATAATATAAATAATATAATATAATATAATATACAGGGTGGGACAAAAGTAGGTTTACAGTTGTTAATATGAAAAATACAATAATTAATAATAATACAAGAATAAACTGTGTTTTGCATACTCACAACTGTAAACCTACTTTTGCCCCACCCTGTATATATCCTATTGGCTCTGTTTCTCTGGAAAACCCTGATTAATAAAGTGGACAGATTCTAATGTCAAGTAAATTAAAGAAAAAATAACCCCAAATACCTATCACTTCTCCAGCAGGAAAATCCCCTTTTGGAAGGCTTGGCTATGCAGAACTCGGAAAGGGGGTTTTGGATTTCTATTGACCAGAGATAAATCAAATTTCAATGTTGAAAAAATCCTAGCGCGAAATCCTAAATTCGGGCAGATAGGTGCTCTGCCAGTTTTGCTCTACAGTTCTGGTACCGTGAATAGCAGGACAGAAATGAAAAATTGTCAATGTAACATTATCTGGTGGTGATGTAAGAATGATCATAGCCAATCCACCTTTGGAAACTAATGTTGTGATAATGCAAACCGGGTGGCATCTGGGGCAGTTAGAAGTGACAGAATTTCTTGATGTTAAGTCCACGCTGAATGAAGATCCTTTGTTCTTGCTGATACAACAAAGAGGTGGGCTTCTGTATTTAGCCCTGACTGTGGGCCCAGCTTTTTATTCCTGCTCTGGACCTCTACCCTGGTGTCCTCTCCTTCCCTTGCAGGCGTCTTCCCAGCATCAGTGCTGAACACAAACCTCTTCTATTTCTCAGCTGAACCTCATCTTTGACGTGTCTTATTTCCTTTTGTCCAATAAAGGAAGGAGGGTGGAGCTGTGCCTTCTCTGGCTGCCAAACCTCCCCAGTGCTTGCCTTAGGCTCCACCTCCCACACCCTCCACCACCCATTGTGGACTACACAGCTCTTACCCAGAAACTGTTTTTCCACCCTAGGTGCTGACCTCATTGTTCCTGGGGCTGGAGCCATCTATAACGTGACGCTTGCCAGTTTGGGAGTTTATAGCAGTTTTGTGTTGGTGGCAGGGGAGAATCAGCCTGTCCTGTTGTCTTTTGTCATAAAGACGAAATTAACAATCTCCTTTCATCTCTTCTGAGCACAGATACGGCTGAAAACACAGAAGCGCAACTTGCTCCTTACACATGGGTATGGTCTGAATTCACCAGTTTATGAAATTTGCTGTCACTGATGGAAATTACCAGCGCGCAGAGCTCTGCTTCCTGTTCTTTGCAGACCAGCATGACATTTGGACTCAATGGAGCCCCTGTCATGGGTTGCCACACAAACACTGTGCTGTCATTTCCTGGCAGTGAACAAATTACTCCGCATCGCCTGGGGATGCTCTCCCAGGGTCCTTCTCGTGGCAGCTAAACCAGTCCTCACAAAGCAAATGTAGAGCTAGAGTCAGTCTTCTGGAGATAGGCAAGAACAAAGCCAGCGTGGTTTACTGGAAATAAACCTAGGAGCGTAGCTACACTATTTTGATAGTACAGGAACTGGGCCCCACCCACTCCCCACTTAGATGTCACAACCCTACATGTATGTGTCTTCCTGTCCCCTTCCTACCTAACACTGTGAGGTGGGGTAGGTGACAGCAGTTGTTTCAATTTTTCCATAACCACTGACCAGCTTGGCCACATAACACCTTCTACTAACCACCACAGACTCTCAGCCACCCGGGGAATCAGCTGTCTTTCTAGATTTTTTTCCACTGATGCGAACGGTGTTCTTGGCTACAGCCCTCATTTTCAGTACAACTTCCTCCTTATTTAAACCAATGTAAGACCCATTCGGGTTGCATTCTGCATCCTTAGGAGAGAACGTGTTATATTAGTGCAAAATGAATTTTTTCGGGTGTATATTGGGACTCCTGAGACCTCAGTAATTCATCAGAGAGCTAACTGATACTTATTGAACGTCTGCTTTCCGTACATCATGGTGCTAGGTGCTTACCGTGAAGGTTTAGCAACAAGTTATATATATTGCTCAAGACATTCGTGTCTTTGAAAAGTTAAGAACAAGAGTTATTTCATATTTTAAAGGACAAGTGCCTATTCAACATTTGGGATTTTTTTTTTTTTAATAATACGAATTTAAATGCATCAGAGAGATAAAAAGTGAACGACTTCATCGAGATTTCAGGTTTTGGAAGGACTAGATATAGTGATAAACAAGGAGGCCCCTTCTCTGGAATTTTCCCTCCTGTGGAAGCGAAATAAAGACAAGAGAGTCTCTAACTTCACAGGCCTCTGAATTCTGTGCACACTGCCACGATTGAGTGATTTCTGAATTTTTGTTGTTGCTTTCCCTTTGGCAGGGAGCCTCATTTTGCCAAGTATCTCGACAGCAGAGGATTCGTTTCTGGGGGGCCAATGCATCTGTGTTCAGGAGGCACAGACCCTCTCCTAATGACCCCCCGTCTTCACACCAGCGGTCTGTCAATTGCTCAGGATTTTGGAAATACCTGAGCGTACTAAATATTAAGGGACTCCAGATTCCCAGAGCCGTAGGCGAATCTGTTCGAGTGTGTTTCCATGGTGCCGACTAAAAGTTGTTTTCCGGCCGGGTTTGGGGGAGCAGCAGCACCGCAGGCGTCACTCCCGCCGCTGCCGGTCACCGGGGCCCACTTGCGGTGACATATTTTGAAAACAGAGCCGCGGCGGAGGGAGCGCAGGGCGCGCACCCGCGGGAATCAGACGACACCGAGCGCGCCCGGCGCGCAGTTTCCGCAGCGGAAGGAGGCGGCGCGGTAAACGCGCAGGAAAAACCGGCCCGCGGCCGCCGTTCAGAGGTCTCCCGAGGTCGCTTCCCTCGCCCCGCGGGTGGGGGGCGCTCCGCAGGGCTGAGGAAGTCGCCCCCCCAAACCGTTTCCGGGACTGCGGCCTCTCCCATCACGCCCCCGGGGAGGGAGCAGCGCCTTCCCAGGCCACGATCCCCCGCGACCCAAAAATAACCGCACAGACGCGAGGAAGAGGGCTGCGGGCAGCGCTCGGCGACCGCCTTATCGCTCGCAGCCAGAACGCTGGCAACCGAACCCCGCGCCCGCCTTTTATAGAGGGTCCCTGGAGCCCCGCCCTAGCAACTTCCCCTAGCAACGCCTCGCCCCGGCGCTCCCGGCGCTTATCGGCCTCCGCCAGGCTCTTCCTGTTCCCCTCCGGCTGCCAGCTCGGCTCCGCGGCCCCGACCACGTGACCTGCCCCGGGGAGGGGCGGGGCGAGCGGAAGACGTGAGGGGCGGGGCTCTGGACGGCTGGGTCGACGTCATCAGGAAGCGCCGGGCCCGTTGTGGCGCTTGGGCACTGGGCGTCGCAGTTTCTGGGACGAGGTGAAATGGCGGAGGCGGCGGCGCTGGTGTGGATCCGCGGCCCCGGCTTCGGGTGCAAGGCGGTGCGGGCCGACTCGGCCCCCTGCTCCGTCCGTGACCTTATCCACCGCCACTGCCAAGATCAGGTGAGGTTCGCGGTTCCCGGAAGGAGGGGGAAAGAAGGGGACAGGATTGGGTGCGGAGAGGGTGTGTGTAGAGTGTCTGTTCTTTGGGGTTTTCGGCTTTGAAGGCTGAGGGTTCCTCAGTTTTAAGGTGTTTCAAACTGATGCTGAGGCCTTCGTTTGCTTTTGCTTTGTGGTGGTGGTTTTGTCACTCCGCTCACAGACGCCCAGTCCAGCCCTCAGTCTGGACTAACAGAAAACGCTGAGGTTTTCTGTTTCTTCATCCGTAAGCGAGGCATTTGGACCAGATGCCTTTTAAGGCTCATTTCGTTACATTCATTCTGTGATTATTTGACGTGCATTTTGTCCACTGATCAAACATTGCAGTTAGCTCCAATCTAGAGAAGTATGTCATACCCAAACCCAGGCCCAAGGATGGCTGGGGAGGGAAGCGGATTCATCGGGTCCCTCACTGGTTGGGGCGGCCGAACACTCACACACGTGTCTTTCCGAGGGCATGGGTTCTTAGGGCCTGTCATTTAGATGTTTCCACGAATCATTCGATGGTCTCATTTGTCCGTGCATGTTTTTGCAAACCTGTCACGGCCTTCTAGAGTTACACGTGTGGTTTCCTTAATTATCAAGCAAGCAAGTTTGACCAACTAAGATATAAACCTGTTCAGTTATCTAAAGAATTGGGCGGCCTCCCTGAATCTAATTTTAATATTGGCACTTGACCTAGTATTGTTTTTCTTTATAATCACACCTCATCCTTGCTTCCTAGGCTGTGCCCCCTGCTTGTTATTTATAAGCCTAACACGTGTTAACACCACAGCCTAAACCAGATTTTTACTTGGACAGGTTCCATGAAACAGCATCGTGTGTTTGCAAATAATGTGGCTTTTCAGCTTCCCCCATTTTTCTTCCTATACTGCAATCCAGTCAAAAAACTGTCAGAACTGTCTTTGACCTTCTGAATGGGGTTATATTTTCCAAAATAATGGGATTTTAATATCTCTGAAAATAGCTCTTATCTCATGAATACAGTTTTCAGACTTACTGACAATTGATCCAAGGCGAGACCAGAAGAAAAAAGGATCTTAATTATGAGGAGTATGGGAAAAAATAATTTTTTTATTAAAAAAAAAGTATGAGATATAAATGAATGGATTCAGCCAGGTACTTAAGAAACCAGGACCATAACAGAAATGAACACAAAACTTATAAAAGGGCATTTAATTAGATACTAGAACAAATAATAATAGCTCAGGTTCACGCCCATGCTTTTTAAGACAAGACTATTCTGACACATGATAAAGTTAGTGTCAGCTCCCATGCAGAAAGTAAAAAACCTGCGCTGCTCTTCACCTGGCGGGGATAACAGACTCAGATAAATCCAACTGCAAAGTTAGTAGGAGACAGTATTTCTCCCAAGGACATGAGGGCAGTGGTGAAATGTCATAGTGACTCCTTTGAAAGTCTACTGCTTTCTTACTCACTGAGAGACCTTGATCTCGAAAATCATGGACTATAAGAAACTTTGTTGGAAATTATATTGGTAAGAATGAAGCATCCCACTCTTGCCTGAGAATCGAAGTCACTGTGATATAGAGCAGCACTCTTGATTTCCCAGCTCTTCACTTGCTGTAGCTCTTCACTTCTGTTCTTGCCCGTGTCTGGAATGATGGTTTTCACTCTCTTCAGTTTTCTGCTCCAGTGCCGCTTGGTCAGAGAGGCTTTCCTTGACTAGCTGTAGGTGTAAAATAGATTAGCACCACACCCATCTACATATCTTAATGCCCTTTACCCTGCTTATCACCATTTCACCTATAATTTGTTCAGTATCTGTCTTGCCCTATTAGTATGTAAGCTCCACGAGGCAGGATCTGTGTTCACTGTATTATTCCTGTAGTGTCCCAACACCTGAAAAATACCTGGCCAATAGCAGACACTTAATATTTGTTGAATGAATGAATGGTTCCTGTTGAAATAGCTGTGTGATAGGGTTCAGGGTGAATGTTCATAGTTTCCACTTGGGGAACAGACCAGTAATGCATTTGTCCTTTCTATTGGTGTTGAGATCTTTTAGTTCTTGATATTGTAAGTTGAATAGTGTACTTCCTAAGTTCCATGTAACTTTGGAAAATACTCCTCTATTTTACAGCGTCAGAAACTTGTTCAGACAGACATAATTTTTATCATTTCTGTTCATCACTTGATCTGAGAATTTTTTTGAAATATACAGACTGGGTTTGGGGGCACTTGTGCTTCTGAGTGATCAACTGTAACTCAGGGGGATGCTAGCAGAAGAGACAAGCATGGCTGCCAGCTGGCCCTAAAACTGTGAAAGCTTATGCAGGTGTACTAAAAACCATACCCTTGTTTCCTTCCTTTCCCTCTTCTTATCCTTTTACCTACACTTTCAGGATATATATTGTCACTTTTAAACATTGTCACTTTTAAACTTGGGGGCCACTCTTTATATTATCTGTTTGAAAAAGTCAGAGGAAACCGGATCTGTGCCCTGCATAGTCTTCTGCCTTGACTCCGACTTCCTGTTAGTTTCACCCAAAAGATGAAAAGTTCTTCTGTATATATGATTAGGTATCAGGAAAAATTTTACCCAGAATACATCATATGAAATGACTTTTTTCTTTTATTAGTTTTATTTTTATTTGAAAAAACTTTTTCATTTTCAATTAAATATTAATTGAATACACACTACCTGCTTGTCACTGGAGTAATGAAAAGATAATAAGCTATGACCCTTCCTGCAAGGAACTAATAAATAGCATTTAAAAACCTCCATTTGTCTCTAGGATGTTCCAGTGGAATGCTTCTTTGTGAAATGCAACGGATCACTTGTTAGCAGCGATGCCACCGTGCAGCATGGAGCTGTTTATAGCTTGGAGCCCAGACTTCGTGGTGGAAAAGGAGGTAGGACATGAATGTCGACTGCTTGCTTGGTTATAACACATCTGCTGTCTTTAGCGAGGTGTATTAAATTAAAAACTCCTTGGTCTCTGTACTATGCCAGCCTTATGCTTTGTCTTATGAAATCCTTTATTTTCTTTCCAGCTTTTGAATATCTCCTCTTTTGTTCTTTTTGAGCAAGGTATTGTGTGATACAGTTCCCACCTTCTCCAGCTGGGTAGCTCCTAGGCAACTGAGACGCTAAGGCTTTGGGGAAGTTTAGAGGAAGAGAGATGGTCATTGTTGTGTCCAGCTTGCTGAAGAAAGCGTGTAGAACAATCAAGCCTCCTGCTCTTATCAAGATTTGGTCTCGTTACTGTTTCCAAGGGAGGCCTAAAGTCACTTTATGAAATACAACTGTTTATGTGTTGGGGTAGAATAAGGTTCTGGCTGTATTAGCACATCTGAGAAAAGAAGTCTTTCTCCTGATACCCTAATGTGTAATCCTGAAGCTTTCTTGAAATCTACAGTGATTCGTTTTGGTTTTCAGAGAGCTGACATTTCAGATTATAATCATCCTGCTGTTTGAAATTGTGTCAATAAGAATGAAGTCTCTCATATTAGCCAGTGACAGCTTAAAATTGCCTTTCCTTTTAAACGCGCTATAAAATCTCACCATACACTTTTTAAAGTTCTTATTCTGGGAATCTTGTGTTCTCTGGCGCTGGGTACAGGCCTGTAAAATATCTCAGTGGTGCAGGTACAATATTTCAGAAATACAAGAGGAAGCACGAAAGGTGAGGTTGAGTCAAGTTTATCAGTATTTTTACCTTTGATCCCTGGGTTCAAATCTTGATATCCATTTCCTTTATTAAAAAGAAAGACCACCTTTAATTTTGCGATACATTACTATTTTCACAAGTTCAGCATTTATCCATCCTTAAACACTTTTTAACCTGCTTTCTCCGAATATATTTGCTCAGGTTTTGGGTCTATGCTCCGAGCTCTTGGTGCTCAGATTGAGAAGACAACCAATCGAGAAGCTTGCCGGGATCTCAGTGGAAGGAGACTGCGAGATGTCAATCATGAAAAAGCGTAAGATACCATTTGTTTTTATTTTTTTAAAGAGAAAAACATACTTTCCTATCAGTGGTGATTATACACATGCTGTGCAGATCAGAAATGTAAACTTGAAATATCTGTGCTCTAATTTATTGTTACCAAATTTTACCTTTTCCCTCATTTAATAATTATCTTTGGGTCTTAGTTAAGTCCATTACAGAATGCTAGTAGTGAGTGTGGCACACCTTTCTGAGGGGTTAGCACAGTATGAGCAAGAGTGCACTAATTTGTTGGGGGGAAGATATCCATTCAGTTACATCTCTTTCTCTCCCACCCCCAGGATGGCTGAATGGGTAAAACAGCAAGCTGAGCGAGAAGCTGAAAAGGAGCAGAAGCGCCTAGAGAGATTGCAGCGGAAGCTCGCAGAGCCCAGGCACTGCTTCACCAACCCTGACTACCAGCAGCAGTGCCACGAGATGGCTGAGCGTCTGGAGGATTCCGTCCTCAAAGGTGAGAGGGAGAATTCCTTGTTGTAGTCAGTAGGCACCGTGCAGCCAGCTTTCCAGACTGGTCCACACTGCACACAAAGAGCAGTTCTTCAGCTTTTTTGGGTCACAGACCTCTGAGAATCTGATGAAAGCTGTGGAACCTCTCCCCTCAGTATTGAGCACAGTATATCTTACGACCCAGAAAAAAAAAATCACATAATGATACAACAAGGGAAAGACAAATGCATGCAAGTAACAAGCACAAGGGGGTGAAGCATTAGGTTTGGGGAGGGCTACGTTTGAACCTCTTGGCCTCAAAGTTTATAAGTTGGACACTGGTGCTTTAAAATTCTGGTCCCAGATCCAGAATGCTTGTTATTTTAAATCTGTGTAAATTCTAGATTAATCTCATTTTAACTATATTAAATTTTAACTATAAGAAATTTAAATCTAGAGCTTTAGATTGCAGCTCTTTTTGTAATCCAGGCTACGTATAATTTCTTTAATCAACTTTGTCTTTATAGTAGACATTGAGTTGTTAAAATTTCTGCTTAGGTATGCAGGCTTCCTCCAGCAAGATGGTATCAGCAGAAATCGGTGAGACTCGGAAGCGGCCTAACAAATCAGAAACAGATGGAGGATCCAGTGCTAGGAAAAGGAAATGCTTTTGGTAAGTATGTTTCATTTCATTCTGAGTGCTTCAGTCTTCAGCATTCAATGGTGGTCACATTGTCACACCAGTACTGGTTTCTGCTCCGAGTGCCACTGATAAATATTTTTCCTTATAGTGAAGGATCACACAAACTGCTTTATACTTGAGTTACTGTTTGGTGTTAACTTTCAAAAATCCCAGGTAGAGATGCCAGGCTGTACTTTCCAGGTGGTCTGTTTTTTCTGTTGGCCTCATAATCGAGGTCTTTGGTCACTCTGCCAGACCTCTCTTCACCACTTTCGCACTTGTGGGTCAAAAGCACAACAGTACGTTTTCTTATCCATTCTTCTGATAGCTCTCCCGCCCTTCCCAGCTGGTCCTCTGGTTACCAGCTCAGTTCCCTTGGGTCACGTTCTAGATAAGTCCAAATGGATCTTGCTTCCTTATAAGCCTCCCCTTGGGGATAGAAAGGTAATTATTAACCAAAGATCATGTAACTCTGTGAGTCCAGCATAGAATTTTGTGTATTATTTCTGAAATGAGAATTAAATGTTTCTGAGAGAAAAGGCATTGTGTGTTTCTTTTAATCAGGTTTATTGAGGTATAATTTACATACAATAAAATTAACCTTTTTTGATTGAACAGTTCTAATAGTTTTAAAAAATACAGTCATATAACCACCACCAAAATAAAGATCTAGAATTTCCATCACCCTAAAAATTTCCCATGTGCCCCTTTGCAGTTAATTTCCTTCCTATACCCTCACGCCTGGCAACCACTGATCACTGGTACATTGTTCCTGTGGTTTTGTCTTTTCCACAATGGCATGTAGCCTTTTGTGTCTGGCTTCTTTCACTTACCATAATGCTTTTGAGCTCCATCAATGAGTGGTATTATATGTATCAGTAGTTCATTCCTTTTTATTGCCAGGTACTATTGCATGGTATGGCTGTATCACAATTGTTTATCCATTTCCCAGTCGAATAATTTCTTAACAGTTGAAATCCATACAATATAGGGAAAACAAGCTTTAAATGAAATCAGCTTTGTTTTATGAGATTCATAACTTTAAAAAAGAGACCCTCTTGGATGTTTGGGATGGTTGGTTCTAGTTTTACTGAATTTTTTTTTTTACCTACTGTTTATTCCTCTGGAATATCCTTTTCTGAAACTTACCTACTCTCCATCTCAAGCTAGCAGATATTTTTATTCAGACAGAATCTGATCCCTGCAAAAATTGCCGCCTTTTTTTAAGTAGAAGATATAAGTGGTGTTAAAACTTTCTGTTTTTTCTGACAGGTTGGGCATGGAAGGACTAGAGACGGTGGAGGGGTCCGGCTCTGAAAGCTCAGATGATGACAGTGAAGAAGCACCTAGCACTTCAGGAATGAGCCTTCCTGTTCCAAAAAATGACAGTGGTGGTGTGGAGATGGCAGTCGAATTTCCCAGTAGTTCTCAGAGGGCAAGAGTATTGAGTACAGACTGCAGCTCACCAGAAAAACTACAGAGCTCTGTGGCTGACTCTGGGAATGGTGTTTCAGAAGATGTGTGTGCCCAGCTGGGAGCGACATCTACCAAGGGGTGTGTGGGAAGGAAGGTGGCTGTAGAAACAGAGAAAACCCAGCAGAAAAAGGAGGCCGAGAGAAGAGGACCCATAGAGAGGGACCCAGCTGGGGCTGGACTGAGTGAGGAGAAAGAGACAAAAGACATGACTGATGGGGAACCAGCTGCCAAGGCAGCACCTGGAGAAGACGGGGAAAACATTCCCACTGCCAAACTGGAGGAAAGCCAGTCAGGAAACACAGTAAGTAATTTTGGGGAGGTGGTTGTCTAAAGCCAAATCAATTTAATCTCCACAGTGAGTCATTAAAATGAAAATGTGCTTTTCCCCACCAGTTGCTTAGTGGATCAGGAATGAAGTGCAGATTTACGATGGTTCAGCTGGCCTGGCCCGCTAAAAATCCTTAGTTTTTTGTGTTTTTTCTTAGCTCCGGAATTTGTATTTTTTGCCACTAGGTGGTGGCCTTTCATTACTTCTAAGATGTATATTTTTCACATTTTAATCTGAATTTGGATGTATATTTCAAATCATAGCATTAACTGTATTGTTTGTTCTTTCTTAGTAATACATACAATAGTAAGGCATTTGAAGGTAGTGGTATTTTAGATTTGATGAAAGGAGCCTGTTTTAAATATTTTCTTTGTGTTTTTCTCCCCCTCAGGCTATTGGTCAGGAATCTATAGATTTACTGGCCTTCGGCTCTGTTGCAGAAATGGAGTTGCTGGGGCTGGAGAAGCTCAAGAGTGAACTGATGGCCCGGGGGCTGAAGTGTGGGGGCACCCTTCAGGAGCGGGCGGCAAGACTCTTCTCCGTCAGGGGACTGGCAAAGGAGCAGATAGACCCTGCTCTGTTTGCCAAGCCTGTGAAAGGCAGGAAGAAATGAATTGCTCCGAGCTGATTTCCTATTTTTTTTCTAGTCTAGCACTTAGAACCTGAATAACGTTGACTATTGGCCATTATTCCTGTTGATATTAAAGCTGACTTTTTTAATAACCCGATTCTAATTATACCCTCTTTTCCATTATTACATTCATAGAATTAATGTGTGAAACCATCTGAGCCTGACATGGGAAGGTTTTTTAATAACAAAATTTAATAAACATAGAGCTATTCAGATTTTTTGGTAAGTTATATTTTCAAGGAATTTATCCATTTGACTCAAGTTGTCAGATTTGTGGGTGTCTGTAGAGGCTGCAGTGGTAACTTCCTTTTCGCCGGAGTTTTTAAATGATGTTCCTGAAAGGGAGAAATTCACGCCATGATTCGCTTCACAGTATTAGCAGGGATTCTCTGTTTATGTAGATGTATGGTTATCAGAAAACGTATAGTTACACAGAAAACAGTCATTGAAAGGTCTTGGGCAAAGCTGGACAGTAAATAGTTAAGAAATCGCTTGGCTATTCAAAGAGATCACAGGGCTTAAAGTCTTAGAGAAAGAAAAAACATTTCTGTGATCCCAAATTATGCCACAGTTTGCAGTGGGACAGGTGGGAGTTTGCAAGAGTAAGTGAAACACATATGCTCAGCATATGGCTTAATCTTTCTGAGGGTGGTACAAACCGCGTTTGATCTTAGATGTATGGAAACGGCTAAAGCTTCAAAAAGAGAACTGTGTTTTTTCTTTATTATCTTTCAGTAATATTTTGGACACTTGCCTTTCATGACAATAGAAATAACTGTATAGAGACATTGCCCTTTGTTTTTCTTGGCTTCCATTCATTTTTACTATATTTGAACTCCTCTCCCCTTTTTTGTAATGTCTCAAGTTTTTATTTGGGCCCAAGTATCATCTGCAACATGGGCTGGCCAGTCCTTTCATTGTTTTTATTTTTTGTCTCCTGCTGGTATTCTTAGAGTTACTTATTTATTTTATTGATTTTTTTTTTTTTTTTTAGATAGGAAGGGAGAAGGAGAGAGGGAAACACCAATGTGAGAGCGGAACATTGGATCAGCTGCCTCCCGCATGCCCCATACCAGGGATTGAACCTGAAACTTGGGCCATGTGCCTCGACCAGGAATCAAACCCTCAACCTTTCGGTGCACAGAACGAAAAAAGAAAGGGCTCTTTTTTAAAAAAAATAAGTACAAGGGGACATCTGTAGTACAACAATAAAGATAAATTTAAAAAATCAATAAAAAAATAATAAAACAAGTACATGTGTGGTGCGCTTTCTGAACCCTCGCATGCCTGGCAGTGTTTTTCTGTTGCCTGAGCATATGCAATACCTTGTCTTAAACAACAGATACTTGCTGTTATTTTCTGGCATATAATATTGTGGAAGAAAAGCTTTATGACTGTTGAGTTTTTTTATTATATCTAATGTGAATTTTTCTCCCTAGACACTTCTGTATTCTTTCTTTGTCCTTCAAATGAAAAGTCACCAGGTTAGCCCTGGCCAGTCTGGTTCAGTGGTTAGAGCGTTGGCCCTGGGACTGAAGGGTCCCAGGTTTGATTCTGTCCAAGAGCATGTATCTCGATTGCAGGCTCGATTCCTGGCCCCCATTGGGGCCTGTGCAGGAGGCAACCAATGGATGTGTCTCTCTCACATCGATGTCTCTCCCCACTCTCTCTTAAAAGCAATGGAAAAAATATCCTGGGGCCAGGATAAGTAAAAGTCACCAGATCATTTCTAGGTGTGGTCTCTTCCTATTTTTTAGTATTGGGCGACCCTTTGTGGTCTGAAGACTAGCCTTTTATCTTAGACCATTGTATTCCTGTTATTGATTGATTATGGATTTTACTCTCTGCCCTGTTCCGTGGAACCTCATTTTCTGTTGGATCCAGCCTGCTCCTCCTGTGTTTGTCAAGTCAGCAGTTAGGTCTTTCTTTTTCTTTTTTTAAAATCTTTATTGAGAGTATTACAGGTGTCCCATTTTTTCCCCCCAATTGACCCCATCCGCTTTGCTCCCACCCCCTCCCCAGGCCTTCACCCTGTTATTGACTGTGTCCATGTGTTATGCATATATGCATATAACTTCTTTGGTTAATCTCTTCCCACCNTGATCGTCTGTTGCATGCGTCAATGTCTCTGGATCTATTTAGTTCGTCAGATTCTTTTGTTCATTAGCTTCTTCTTAAAGAAGACCCTTCAACTTTCCCTGTAGTGCTGGTCTGGTGGTGATGAACAACTTTAGCTTTTTCTTATCTGTTAAGCAATTTATCTGACCATCAATTCTAAATGATAGTTTTGCTGGGTAGAGCAATCTTGGTTGTAGCTCCTTGTTTTTCATCACTTTGAATATTTCTTGCCACTCCCTTCTGGCCTGCAAAGTTTCTGTTGAGAAATCAGCTGACAGTCGTATGGGTGCTCCCTTGTAGGTAACTAACTGCTTTTCTCTTGCTGCTTTTAAGATTCTCTCTTTGTCTTTAACCTTTGGCATTTTAATTATGATGTGTCTTGCTGTGGGCCTCTTTGGGTTCCTCTTGTTTGGGACCCTCTGTGCTTCCTGGACTTGTAAGTCTATTTCTTTCCCCAGGTAGGGGAAGTTTTCTGTCATTATTTTTTCAAATAGGTTTTCAATTTCTTGCTCTCTTTCTTCTCCTTCTGGCACCCCAATAATACAAATGTTGGGCCTCTTGAAGTTGTCCCAGAGGCTCCTTATACTATCTTCATATTTCTGGATTCTTTTTTCTTTTTGCTCTTCTGGTTGGGTGTTTTTTGTTTCCTCATGTTCCAAATTGCTGATTTGATTCTCAGCGTCCTCTACTCTACTGTTGATTCCCTGTAAATTATTCTTCATTTCAGTTCGTGTAGCCTTCATTTCAAATTGGTACTTTATTATGTTATCGATTTTCTCAGTTATTTCCCTAATAGTCTGCTTAAACATCCTTATAAACAAAATTCTGAACTCTGTATCTGTTAGCTTGCTTGGATCTATTTCATTTAGTTCCTCTTCTAGAGATTTCTTCTGTTCTTTCCTTTGTGACATGTTTCTTTGCCTCCACATTTTGGCTGCTTCCAGGTGTTTGTTTCTATGTATTAGGTAGAGCTGCTATGTCTCCTGGAATTTGTAGAGTGGCTTTGTATAGTAGGTGTCCTGTAGGGTCCAGTGGCTAAGCCTCCCCAGCCACCTGTGCTGGGCCTTCTAGGTGCTCCCCTGTGTGGGCTGTGTGCACTGTCCTGTTGTTGTTGAGCCTTGGTTGCTGTTGGCGTCACTGGGAGGAATTGATCCCCTGCCAGTCAGCTGTGAGGACCAGCTGCAACTACAGCCAAAGAGCTGCTGTGCTGGAGACACCCCTATGGAGCAGGATTTACTTCAGTGGGGCTTTGGTGTTCACCAAGTGCGCCCCTTGATATGGTAGGGTTGTAATCCTGCGTGGTCAAGTCTAACCACCAAGTGCACTGTCTCTGGGGCCTCCTTGGAGGTCCACAGTCAGCTTGTGCCAGGGCCTTGCCCAGGGCCACCCAGCATGAGCTACACAGCAAACTAGTTGGCTGCTACTTGTGCTGGGCTTGGAGGTGTCCAGGAGAGGCCAAGCTATGAGCCAATGCAGCTGCCGCTAGTGCCAGGCCTGGGGCCACTTATCAAGCCTTATGGGGTGTGCTGCTGCTTGTTTGAGAGATTTTAGGAAAGTCCTAAGCATAGGGCTCAAGAGGCCACTTGCACAGAAAAGCCCCTGGAAAGGGCCTGGAAGAGCCTGCAGGGGGGGAGGGGCCTCTGGGGATCACGGGGCGGGGCCAAAGGTGCAAGTCAGGTGCTGGAGGCTCCAATATGGCGCCTGCCTGCCGGCTGTGTGCGCGGAGGACTCGCCAAAGGAGCTATGGCCTCCGCCAGCTCTTCAGCCTGGGAGGAAGCTGCCCCTCCAGCTCTCGCCCGGATCTCAGGCAGGTTAGTTCCCCCCGAGTGTCCCAGGTCCTTTCCGGCTGCTCNGTGCCGGGCCCTTTAGGAGGAGCTGCTGGGGCTCCCGCAGCTTCCGTGACCCTCAGCCACAGTCCCCGCTGGTCTCACAGCCCTGAGTTGTGGGGACGTCTCTCCCTGGCCCTGGAGCCCTGGGCTGGGGGCCTGCTGTGGGGCTGGGACCCCTCGCTCCTCCGGGAAACCTCCGCCACTGAGATTCCCTCCCGGGTTTACCCGCAGCACCGGTGTGGGCCCGAGGCCGCATCTCCGGGATCCAGCCCCATCCTCCCGCGTCTCTGCCCCTCCTCCCGGTCTCGGTGCTGCTTCAGTTCCCTGGTTGCGGGGCTTCTGTGCAGCCGGATTTCAGGAGGCTCTGAGTGATGGCATTTCATATTTTCGCTGTAATTTTGATGTGGCTGCGGGAGGCGGCGGGTGCAGCTGTTCCCTGTGCCGCCATCTTCTTTCCGTCCCAGCAGCTAGGTCTTTGTAGAAAACCTTTCTTACTCTCAAACGAGTCTGCTCCCTGCTTGCTTCTGTTTCATAGATGTGTTCTCTTGAAACTCAGTGTGTATATGCTCTAAGGGCTTCGTGCATCTTCTGATCCCTCGAGTTGATTTCTTTACAATTACTCCTTTTTTAAGGGTGTCCGCGTGTGCACGGGTTGAAGATGAAGATGGGATTAGGTGTGCAAGGGATTTGTTGGAGCCAGAAGCAGGGTTGACACCCGTGGGAGGGGAGGGAAGGAGGGATTGGGCAGGAAGAGTCTCTGCTGCGGTGAAGTTCCAAGGAAGGTTCAACCTGATCGATGGAGAGTCCTCAAACCTGTCACCGGTTGGAACCCAGCATCTCCCGGCAATGCGCCTGCCTCAGTTCCCCGGCCGTGCTCACTGGCTGGACAGTATGGCCTGGGCATGAACCTAGTGGATCAGAGGGGCAGCCAGTGGGACCATAGTCAGTCAATTGTGGTTCCCAGTAGGGGATCGGAAGCGTGTATGTGGCTGCCACGGAATGCATTTCGGTCGCTTCGGCCTACTTTTCCAGTCTGGGTCTTTGAGAACCGTTTTCTTCAAATTATGCGGCTACCTGTAGAAATCTTAAAAAGCACCCTCCAAGGGGGAAGGGGAACGTTTAGGTGGAGTGGAGGTTTACTTTGTCAGATTAGAGGTTCTTTGGCTTGTGGGAGACTCGGGCAGCGATGCCCGAGGCGTTTTTCTGTGGCGGCGGCGAGCTGTTGGCGGGGTCAGTGCCCCTTTCCTAATTGGCACCGTTAGCCCCTT